ATGGAGCAAAACCTCCTCTGTAACTCCAGGCAGCTTCACTGGCATTTGGTTCTCATTCCTAAATGCTAATCTGTTCCGTTGGTCCCTAGCCAGCTCTGAGTTAGACTAGAGGTTGGAGGAAGGAACCAAGCAACGAATAAGTGAAAAGAAAATACGAATAAGACATAGAATTGTCTGGAGATAGAAATATATGGTATTATCATTTTTAAGGCTTTTTACCGTTTACATACCATACCTTGGTATAAACTGTATTATTAGTTCCATGTTACAGATGAAATTGAAGCTACAAGTCACTCGGCTAGCAAGTGGTAGGGACAGCAGACATTCTGGGAACAGGAGTTTTCTGATTGCTTCTATTTTTTCAGGGAAGTATATAGCAAAGTCATCAGCTGAGTATGAGGAGGAAAAGAGGAGGTGTTGGAGAGTAGAGAAATGAGAAGGTGAGGAACAGTCTTCTAGGGGCTTAGGAACATGAATGGGATACTTAACGGTATTGACAGGCAACACCAACAACCCACCTTGGTTTGGTGATCATAGATTTAAATTCCAACCAGTGAGAAGCTCATTCAGCTTCTCACATTCAAGCATTGACTTGGCTTCACCCAGGACTAGGGTTTTCCTAAGTGACCGTTAATATATGTATCCTTAATACCTTGCCCTCCTGACTCTCTGAAAACTAACTCTCCAGGGACCATTTTAAAGGAGTATCTCAACAAGTGCACTGGATCCCATCTTCTCTTAGGATACCACTCACTGCTGAAAAGATGTCACTCACTGCTGAAATTGATTATGAATCACATAATCTAATCAGAAAGGAAAGAAGAAATGGGTGTCAAGGACACCTGTGAGATAGAATGAGCAGGTGGTACATTTGGGAGGTCTTAAGAGGTTACTGAATTATTGGAATTAGAATCAAAGGGACAGTCAGTGTGATGGCTCATGCCTGTAATCCCAGCATGTTGGGAGTCTCAGGCAGGCAGATCGCTTGAGGCCAGGAGTTCGAGACCAACCTAGCTAACATGGCAAAAACTCATCTCTACTAAAAATACAAAAATTAGCCAGGCATGGTGGTACGTGCCTTTAATCCCAGTTACTCAGGAGGCTGAGGCATGAGAATCACTTGAACCCAGTAGGGTGAAGGTTGCTGTGAGCCGAGATCATGCCACTGTCCTCCAGTTTGAGTGTCAGAGAGAGTCTATCTTAAAGAAAAAAGAAAGAGAAACATAAATATATATACCTACTGTGTACTCTCAAAATTAAAAAAAGAAAAATCAAAGGGAAAGATTTGAAATGGCAGCTGAGAGTATACTTGAAATCAGATTGGAGAGGGAGTTCAGTCATTACAATGGCAAGATTAGAGAGTGTAACTATGCAAGAAGATAAATGAGTTGGAATAAAGAAAAAGATCACTCACTGAAGGAGCAGAGGACAAGGAACTGAGAGTCCATTGTATTGGAAGGATCATTTATTTGAATATTGATTTAATCAAAACTTATTGCAGGGGTCAACAGCAATGAGAAACCAAAATGTTGGTCTCTAATTCTATTAAGAAAACCCAAATGTTGGTCTCTAATTCTATTTTCCACTAAAGGGAACTAGAACTGTTTGGAGACATGGCTGTTTTCGGATAAAAGTATTGCAACACTGTAAATCTATGAAGTTGATAACATAACTGTAATTTTGTAAGACAGTAACCTTATTAGGAAATATACAAATATTTAGGGGTAAAGGGCCGTAATATGCGTATAATTCAGAAAACAAATTATGCGCATTCCCGTATGTGACAGAAGGAGAGAGAATACAAATGATAAAGCACACCGGATAAAATGAAACAATTGGTAAATCCAGATAGAGAATATACAGTATTCATTGTACTCTTTTTATTTTTGCAACTTTCTCTAAATTTGAGATTACAGTTGCATGGGTACACTTGTACACAGATTTTTTTTTCAATCAGAGACAGATCAAAAATACCCTATTCACAGGATAGAAAACCTGTATATATATATAGAACCAACTTTTCCTATAACGCAGGTTCCTCAGGGCCCACTGTGGGACATGAGTATGCATAGATTTAGGTGAGGGATGGGCGTTGTAGTCCTGGAACCACTCTTCCCTCCATGTATACTGAGGGAAGAGTGTATTTAAAAAAAAAATGAAACTATGACAAGAGTGGTGTTGGAGAGACACAAGGTCATCCACTTAGTTAAGTGTTGAACTTGGACTGATTATATTCTGTGTGGTAAAATCAGGATAAGAGGCAGATTATTTACATCTCTAAGCTTTTGGAAACTTACATTTTCACTTTGATATTTTTATTTTGTTCTTTGTTTTTGGCATGATGACCTTTCATTTTTAGTTCAATGATGTTTTATAACCAAAACTATTATATTCTTTTCATGTAACTTTATAGATCGTTTGAATTTAAGTCATCCTGTCTTAACCGTCATTTTCACAAGGTTATCAGGGCATCAGTTGAAAACCTTAGAAGTCTGGGATTCTTTCTGTGCTTTTTTAAAAAACAGTTTTATTAAGATACATATTAAGATATAATTCACATGTCATATAACTTGTACATTTTAATAAAGTATACAAGTCAGTGGTTTTTAGTATATTCACAGTCAATTTTAAAACATTTTATCACCCCAATAAGAAACCTCATTCCGGTTAGCACTCACTCCTGATACACTTCACTACTCCACTGCAGTTTCCAATCTACTTTTGTCTGTATGAATTTGCCTACTCTGGATATTTCATATAAATGTAACCATTTAATATGTCGCTTTTGTGGCTGGTTTTTTTCACGTAGAATAATGTTTTCAGAATTCACCTATGTTGTAGCATGTATCAGAGCTTTATTCTTTTGTGTGGTAAGTAATGTTCCATTGCATGGATATTCTACATTTTATTTGTCAGTTGGTTGACATTGGGTTGTTTCTATTTTCTTATTATAAATAAATGTTGCTATGAACATTTGTGTACAGGTTTTTATGTGAACATATGTTTTTAGTTCTCTTATACATATCAGTAGGAGTTGAATTGGCTGTGTCACATGGTCACTGTGTATTTACCTTTGAGGAAAGACCAGATTGTTTCCAAGCAGCTCCTCCAATTTTATATTCCCACCAGCAGTGTATGAGGGTTGTTTCTCTACATCCTGGCCAGCATTTGTTATTACTTATCTTCCTGATTATAGCATCCCAGTGGGTGTGAAGTGGACCTGTCTATACTTTTAAACCCCCAAAATATGATCAGTCCTCAATAATAAAAGATCTCCACCCTTTTCTAGCAGCAAGCATATCTCCTCATTAAATACACACAAAACAAATTGAAATAAAATAGCATAAAAATTATTTCCCTTTCCCATTTCTTTGTTCTTCAAAATTGATTGGAGAGAATCTCAGGAGAAGTAATTGGATTTTTTAAAATTGTGCAGCTAGAGTTCATAACTTTTAAATGCCCATTATAGTCAGATGTATGTTTAGCATCTGACCCCTACCCCGCCCCATGTCTGTCATACCCACTGATGCCACTCAACATTGCCACTTACACTTCCAGAGTGCCTTATTCAGGAGCCTTTCCCCATCCTCAGCTTAGCACAGAGCCTATCATTTGCTTTCTCTTGGTAGCTCAGAGCTTCTATTAGTATTAGTTCAACACATTATTGATTAAATTGAATTTTGTGGGGTCTCCTGAGTGCCTAAGTGCTATTTTTTTAACATGGTTTCTACAGGAAAATATGTATCTTTCCAGGTCAACACCTTAGAACACAGCTTGATTGCAAGTTTGTGATTATCTATGTCCATGAAGAAAGTCAAAATAAATTGGAGTTGTTTAACCTGGTGTCAGAAAGTCTTCTGTTGACTTAATAACCCCCATCATATTGCAACTTTAGCAAGCATTATTCCCTTTGTTTAAATTGCAATTTCTAATTTTAAAAATTATATTTTATTATATGTAATAAAATGACAAGTAAAAATTGAATTCAATTTTGAAAAAATATATATTAAAGGAAAGTAGAAAGAAAAGAGTAGCATTTTTCTCATATTGTATTTGGCTTACTACAATAATAGAAAGTTGCTCTTAGTTTCAGTTCTCCTAAAAGGCCAACTTATGTTTGAGATGTATATCCTCAGTAGTAGAATGAGTTACATCATGCTTTCCATGTTCTGATGAAGTTTAATTTACCTTTAAATAATAATTGTTACAGAGGATTGGATTAAAATCTGATCAATATGAGAATGATTGATATATGTGTATTTTTTTCTTAAATTTGAACCATGACAGTTAGAGATTAACTCAATAAAGCATTCTATGTCCCTTTCCCAAAAACACATACATTTAGAAGTAAATTAAAGATCAGGTGTAGAAAGTTTTTAACACCACTTCTATTGATCTGCTATCCACAGTATAATTTTGGGCTTTTTTTTTAATCTATAAAAAATCAGAGTAATACCCTGTTTGCACCATTCATTTCATTGGAGTATTAGGATGGCTGTCAAATATACATGGGATTTAGGTTTATTTTTATTTCTCTCTCTAACCATCACCTTTCCCCCTCCTTCCCCTCTGTCAGTTCTCTCTTTTCCTCCTTCCTTTTTTTGCGGGCTTATTTCTGAGTGTTTGAATAGAAAGAAGGCCAGTTGGCAGTTGCCAGAAGGTATTCCTTAGGATTACTATGTTACTATATCAAAATAACAGCACACATGGGGCATTTGGGTCATACCTGCCTCAAGGGTCCCTCAGCTTTGAAGTATTAACAGAGATGTTCTTCCTGTGCAAGACCAATTGCGCTTCCACATCCATGGCGTTTTCTCTACACAGATTGCTGGCTTTACCTCAAGTCCAAAGCTTTGACTTGACCTGAATATTCCAGTTAACATTCTCTTTGTCAGAGGGGCATGAACTTCTCCCCTGTTAGAGAAATTGTGTGTGTGTGTGTGTGTGTGTGTGTGTGAATTACCTTTTTGACATGTTTCTTTTGTGTTGAATTCTGACAGCTCTCCACACAAGGAGATGCAAGTCAGGTGATTGGGCCTCTTACTGAAGGACAGAGAAGAAATGTGGCAGTAGTGAATTCACTGTATAAATTGCACCAGTCAGTAACAAAGGTAACCTTTATTTTTATTAAGTTTTTTTTTAACTTAATTTTAAATTCTTGTCTCAAATTTGAACAGTTTACAAATTAGTATTTAGTACTTTGGAAAAGAATACAATGAAAATGTGATTACTATGAAATAAACTAAGGAGTTAACTCTTTTTAAACAGTCTTTGATTTTGACCTTCATTGTTTGTGTGACTTTTAGTCTGTACATTCAGTTTAAAACACATGAACTGTAGATCCTCAAGTTAGTTAAGTTTAGTGAACAAATTATTGGAAGGCAAACATACATTTTCATACTTTTTGAAACACGCATATAGTGTTTGATATAGTGTAGATGGTAGTAAATTATAGCAAAGCTAATGACAGAATAAGACCCTGAAGTCCTCCAACATGTCAAGAATGTTCTATTAATATCTTTGCATTAAAAAGGTGGGGAGAAGCTGTATTGAAAACTGAATTTTTATGACATAATCACTGATGACTACTTGCAAATAGACAATGTGTATTCTTTTGCTCTTTTTCTACTAAGCATTTAAAAGAAATGACTGAACTCTAACTTGTTGGCCTCAATATATTACGTCCAAGGTGAACTGTATTGTTAATTACTAAGAAAGCAATACTCTTAAGTCCATCTGTGACTTTTGAGTAAATTGTGCTTAATTATTCTCTATAGGTCATTTTAAAAATATTTTATAAGTGGGAAGATAGTAATTTAGAAGACCTGAAGGAAGCTAATGGTTAAAATAATGTTCTTGAAAACTTGACTTCTCATATAAACTTTAATATACTAGATTGTGTTTTGGAATAATTTTAAGTGACTATTACTCATTTATTTAAAGATTTTAACAAGTCATTTTATCAATTAGGGGTTTCTAAAAATGTGTGTTTTACACAGTAAACAAAATATATGTTAAAGAGTTATTAACGGGTACATCTCAGAAAGGTAAAAATTATTAAAAAACACTAAATGATATATTTCCCATTCTCTTTAATCATTACTCCAAAGCACCACAAGCAAAGAAAGATTGTGTTCTATCTAGCCTGCTTTAAATGTCTTTATTGATATTTTCAAAATTTGCATGATGTTTGTATTGATTTATAAAAATTGAAATGCTGACATTTTTATTTTAAAGACTTGTTGGAAATTAGAGTCAGCCTAAAGACAAGTTATTTTTTTTTTAAGAAATGAGTAAATATGGCTTTATTCTGACCTTTTCAAGTTAAAACTTCGTAATTAAAACCTATGTAAAATGAATAAAGGAAACATAGCTCGTAGTAGTATTAATGTTATTTGAAGTATGTATTTGATGTATACACAAAATTATTTTTCAACCTATCTTAATCCTGATTTTTAAAATCATGTATAAAATATTATGATAAACAGTGATAATACTGTATATATAGTATGTGGAAACAGCATTATATGCTATAATCAAAATTAGTATTTGTAGAAACAGACTTAAGCAAAACTATAACCAGATCAAAACCTTGTTCTAGGTCGTTTCCAGTCAGAGTTCATTCCCACCGGCAGCTGAGCAAACTATAATTTCAGCTCTAAAGGTAAAATAATTTAATTTAATTTTTGACTCTGTAGATCAGAGCGGTTTTAGGATTATTTGTTTAACTGAGTGGGTGATGTCACACTTTCTAAATACTTCAGAATCCTCTATATATACAAAAGTAGCACGTTGATAATTATCATAAAGAGAATAGATACCAAATGTGTTTATATTTTCTATAATTTAAAAATAGACCATTTTGGTGTCTACAGATTGTGTTCTACTTATGATAATTGTGTACATAGAAGCAAGAGTCTTACATGTGTTTATCTAATGGCAGTACAACTCAGCATTATCCCAGTAAAGCAATGGTTCTCCACCAGAATCAATCCTCTAGGTGACATCTGACAGTATCTGGAGACGTTCTGGATTGGCATGACAAGGTGGAGATGCTACTGGCATCTAGGGAGTAGAGGCCAAGGATGTTGCTGAACATCTTGGACTACATAGGACAATGCCCACCCCTCTCTCATAAAAGAGTTTTCTAGTCCAAAATGTCAGTAATGCCAAGGTTGAGAAACCGTACTTTAAACGTGGCATAAAACCAGAATATATTTTTATTTTTTATATATGAACATAAGTGTACCCCTTTTCTATTATTTAGGAAATTTTATTACAGATAATGGTATGAGATTCAGAGCCATATGTAGTTGACAGTATCTCTTTAAAAAACAAGCAGATTATTCATTTTTACAACAGTACTAGAGAGGCACATTTTGAAATATTACCGCAACCCTTCAAGTTATGTATTTGTATTACCATTTTTATACATCTTAGAAATAATACCTTGTTCAAGGTCCTATTGCTGATAAATGCAGACCTTGTTAACTCTAAAGCGTTAAGTCTACTACAGCTTGCCACCATCATTCCTTTATTTGCTAAATATTTATTTAGTACTTGGTGAGTAAGTAAGGCCATACAGCATAGACTCAGGAGCCAAACTACCTGTAACCCATCTCAGCTATTCATCTAGCTGTGTGACCTCAAACAAGTGAATAAGCTCTCTCTTGCCTTAGTTTCTGCATCTGTAAAATGATACAATAAACCTACACAAAAGTAATAAATTTCAACGATTAGATTGGATTTAGGTCTCTAAGGGAGAGTTTTAAAAAGTGAGATCAAAGTCTGCAAGGCAACATTAAGGATAAACACATACTTAGAGAAAACAGAAAACAATCAGAAGAAGGAAGAAAATTAGAACACTGTGTCACAAATCCTAAAGAGGGAGGGAGCTTTTAAAGTCAGATGCTTTAGAATTTACAGGGAATGAGGATTTAACAGGCACCAAAATGTAAGGACACTAAATTCATATATGAATGTATTTGATTCATTGAGGGTAAGATAAGGAGACACTATTTTCCCCCAATGTATTAAAAGTACACTTGGATGTTCTCTGTATCCCTTTTTCTCCCCTTATGCTTTAAAATATTTTGCCATAATAAAATAATCGTTTTTAGTAAGGTTGGCATACATATTGATGATCATAAAATCAGGTCAATATGACAAACCTTAAAGTCTTAACATTCTTGATTCCAGACAAGTAATGTATAGTCTTCTATTCTGTAATTCCACGTTTTTTTCTTATAGCAGTAACTATCAAACATTTTTTCTATCACTACCCAAAATAAGTACATTTTACTTTGTGCCCTCATACATAATACATAAGCATTTACAAATATATACATAGATTTGTAATTGCATGAAGTGTACATCTGTACACATTTATCTATAGTTGGTAGAGCAGTTTCATAAAATAATACTTATCCTTATTTTGTGTACTCATTCTAATATTTTCTTTGCTAAACTATTACTTTTTAAAACATGATAGTGACCCACTGAATTGATTTTTTTGACCTCTAATGATCAGACACAACTCATAGTTTCACAAAGTCCATTCTCTAGATTAAGACAGAAGAATGCCTTCACTTTGCTTGATGATAGAAATCACTTGGAGAGTTAAAAGTAGAAATTACTCAGAGACTATATTTCAGTCTAGGGTAGTTTCTTTGAATCTTGGTTTTTAACAGACAAAAATTATTATTTCAATATTAGTCACTTGGGCAGGGAGTTGGAGTCAGTGCAGGGAAAATTGCCCTAATCTTGGGCTGCAGCCGTCACTGAGGTTTGCTTACCAGGACCGGTACCCCGTGGAGCTGGGTGCTGCACTTTGCTAAGGCATGCAGATTTTGCCTTTAAGAACTGGATAAGAGAAGACTGACAATAAGTACAAGGCCCTCCTGCGGTGGCCTCATCAGTTAGAGACTTAATTGCTCATGTTAATACACTCAGTGAAAGTTTTGACTTTGCTATTTAAGTCTTATAAAAAACCGTTATGACTTATTAAGTAAAAAGTAAACAAAACCCTCAGACTTAGGATAAAAAAGAATGTTGAATTTCATAAAATTGTAAGAAATTTATTAAATTACTTTGAATTCAAGGTAGACAGTTATGATATACAAATGCTTGCAGCCCAAAAAATCTATTTAATTTTATTTGATAGAGAAGATATTAAACATACTTTTTAACTTACTGAAAAATATATAGACATTTAACAGTCCTTTCTTCTCTACCTTGCTGAGATTTTATCCAAAATTAAATGTTATTGTAGGCTTGAGGTTCATCATTATGTATTATTTTTTCATTTATTCAAAAATATTTATTACCATATGCCAGGTATTAGTGATACACAGTGAAAGTCACAAATAAAGTCCTTTCCCATGTGGAGCTTTTACTGTAGTGAGGAGCCCAGTGGCGACAAGTGCTATGATGAAAAATAGAGCACAGTAAAGGATAGAGAATGGGGAATGAAAGGAAAGTGCTATTTTATATAGGCCTCTCTAATCAAGAGACATTTTAACAAAAATCTGAAGGAACTGAAGGGTGAGCCAAACAGCCATCTGGGGCAAGTGTTCCAGGAATAGAGACCTGAATTGGACAACCTTGTAATATTCACAGAACAGCCAGGAGGCCAGAGTGGCTTGAGCAGAGTGAGTGACAGCAAAGAAGCAGGAGTGAAGTTGGAGAGGGAGCAGAGCAGGGGTGGGGTGGAGAGCAGAACATGCAGTCTCCGTCATCACATATTCTAAGCATTATCTAATATGTCACGAATGGCATAATTAATATTGAGTATACATTTAGAGTTATTTCATTATAACCACCATAGCTATAAGTATCATTTAAACCCCTTGGCCCAGTAAATCTGATCCATTTTTTACTGAGATTTGACTTGTGAAGATAGTGATTACATTGCCAAATTTATATATGGCAAGGCTTCTTTCTCCCTTTTTGTGTGGGTTTGATGCTCTATATAAAGGAATATTCCAGATTGCTGAGGCTCCAATATTTTTGTAATTTTAACTATTTTAGGTAACTATTTTAAATGTATAACATATTTTTAACTATTTTAAATGTATAACATATTTCCTTGCTTTGTAAAGAGCATATGAAATACAATCTAATCTCCTTTCTCAGTTTCCTTGTTAGTTGTTAGTTTCTACCCATCCTTGAAATGAAGGCATTCCCCAAGATGCTCTCTTCTCTTCCTATTTCATATTTTCCCTAAGTGGGAAACCTTACCCAGCAATAAAGTTTTCTATGTAAACCACCATATCTTATGCAAGTAGAGATTTTTACCTTCTGATCTTTATACCTGTTTTTCCATGCCTTATTTCACTGTCCAGGATCTGTTGTACAATGTTGAATAGAACTGGTGAGAATGGACCTCATTCACTTGTTTCTGACTTGGAGGAAAGCATTCGTTATTTTACCATTTTAAGTATAGTATTAAGTATAGGTTAATGATGTAATAATGTTAGCTGTAGGCTTTTAATAGATGACCTTTGTCAGACTAAACAAGTTCCCTTCTATCTTAGTTTTCTGTTTATTTATTATAAATAATGTTGAGTTTCATTAAACAACTTTTTCTATGTCTATTGAAATAATCATATGGCTCTTTTATTCTGCTAATGAAGTATACTATAGTAATTTATTTCCAAATATCAAACAAACCTTAGTCATGACGTATTACCCTTTTTATGTATTCCTGGATACTTAATGTATCCTTTTATGTATTCCTGGATACTGATTCACTTAATTTTTGTTAAGCATGTTTATTTACATCTATATTCATAAAGAATATTGTTATAAAATTTTCTATGTCTTTATGTGGTTTTGGTAGCAATTTAATACTGGCCTCACTCAATGAGTTTGAATGTTTCATCCTCTTTTGTTTCCTACAAGAGTTTGTGTAGAATTTGTATTATTTTTTTCCTCAAGTGTTTAGTAGAAATCACCAATGAAGCCATCTGGGCCTGTAGTTTTCTCTGCAGAAAGGCTTATAACTACACATTAATTCATTTAATAGACAAAAGGCTATTTGTGTTATCTATTCTTCTTTTTTTTTTTTTTTTTTTTGAGATGGAGTTTCACTCATGTTACCTAGGCTGGAGTGCAATGGCGCAATCTCGGCTCACGGCAACCTCCACCTCCTGGATTCAGGCAATTCTCCTGCCTCAGCCTCCTGAGTAGCTGGGATTACAGGCACGTGCCACCATGCCCAGCTAATTTTTTGTAGTTTTAGTAGAGACAGGGTTTCACCATGTTGACCAGGATGGTCTCAATCTCTTGACCTTGTGATCCACCCGCCTCGGCCTCCCAAAGTGCTGGGATAACAGGCTTGAGCCACCGCGCCCAGCCATCTATTCTTCTTAAATGAGCTTTGACACTTCGTGATGTTGAAGGTGTTTGTCTACTAACCTTAGTTATTTCATTTGTCAGAATAATCTATATAATATTTAAAATCCTTTTGTGCTTGGTTAGTTGCTTTGTTTAAAGATGGTGTCCCACTATGTTGCCCAGGCTCGAGTGCAGTGGCTATTCATTGGCACGATTATAGCATGCTACAGCCTTAAACTCCTAGGTTCATGGGATCCTTCTGCCTAAACCTTTGAAGTAGCTGGAGCTACAGGCATACACCACAGTGCTGAGCTCACTTAACCATCTGTTTGATGTTTTTAGGACCTATGAGGATAACCTCTTTTTCATTTTTGATATTGTTATTTGTATTCTGTTTTTTTCTTGATCAATCCAGCTAGGAGTTTAGCAACTGTGTTAATCTTTTCAGTGAAACAGCTTTTAGCTTTATTAGTTTTCTTTGTTTTCTATTTTATTGATTTCTGCTTTTATCTTTTTTAATTTTCTTCTTTTTGCTGGCTTCAAGATTTTCTGTTTATCTTTGGGTGTGTGAATTTTCTTTGCTACTTTTTAAAGATTTTTTTGAGACTTTACATCATTGATTTTAGACTACTTTCCCCACAAATAAACATTTAACGATATAAATTTTCCACTAAGCACTGTAATTTTTCTACAATATACTTCTATCTTTATTCAGTTTGAAATATTTTTCTAATTTCCTTTGTGATTTCTTATTTGAGTTATGGATTATTTAGAGATGTGTTTTTAAAATTTCTAATTACTTTTGGTTTCTGTATATATCTTGTTACTGATTTCTAATTTAATTCTGATAACAGAATTAAATGTTGATGATTTTACCTTTCTTTAAGTAAAAGCAAGTTTATTAAGAAAAGAAACAAAAGAATGACTATTTCTTAGGCAGAGCAGCCAAATGATGATTTTTTAATAATTATTTTAAATTAAATCATCATTTAAAATCTGATGAGTTTAAATTAAATTTTATCATGTGAGTGTGATGGCAATGAACTCTCCTAATTTTCTTTTGCCAAATATGTATTTTACTCTCATCTTTGAAGGATATTTATACAGAAAACATAATTAAGGATTTGAGAGGTTTTTTTTTTTTCTCTCAGCACTTAAAATATGTTCTACTGTTTTCTGGCCTCCATGCTTTCTAATAAGAAGTCATTACTTATTAAAATTATTTCCCTTGTATGTTTTTTTTTTTTCCTAGTTTCAAGGTTTTCTGTTTATCTTTGGTTTGCAGCAGTTTATGGTGTGCCTAGGCATAGTTCCCATCAAAATTATCCTGTTTGGGATCTGCTGACCTTCCTGAATCTGTAAATTCATGCTTTTCATTATTTTGGAAAGTTTGAGGCATTTTTCCCTCACAAGTAGTTTTGCTGCCTTACTCTCTCTCTGCCCCATTCTTTTCTCTTTTTACAGGACTTCAGTCACCAGTATGTTAGACATTTTGCAGTTGTTTCATAGGTTTAATTATTTTTTAGTATGTTTTCTTTTCTCCAGAGGGATTTCTGTTAATTCTATCTTCAGGTTCATTGACTCTTTCCTCTGTCATCGCTACATAAAATTCTTCTACTAAGCCTATCCAGTCAATTTTAAAATTTCAGATGGTATAATTTTTTAGTTTAAAATTACTTTTTTTTTTAACATTTTATTCACTCTACTGAGATTTCTTATTATTTTATTTATTGTGAGCATATTTTTCTTTGCCTCATTGAGGTTCTTGCCTGATAATTCTAGAGTCCGGTTTATCTCAGGGTTGGCATCTCTTGATTGTCTTTTCCTTTGAGAATTGATAAAATTTCGTAGCATTTTCTATATGTAGTAATTTTGAACAAATCCTAAGCACTGTGAATGTTATGTTGTGTAGAACCAGGAATTTTTTTTTTTTTTTTTTTACATTTCTTATAAGCATGTTGATTTTGCTTTAGCAGACAATTAACTTGGTTATACTCAAACTGTGTACTCTCGCACCTGCAGTTGGCCGCACCTCAGTCAATTCACTTCTTTAAGCCTCAATTGCAAGCCACATTTAGTTTGCTTTCCACTTGCATTGTTAATGAGTTAGCTGAAGACTTGTGCTGAGTTTAAGCATAAAATTAGGCAGTCCTCTCGAGCTCTCTCCTTTTCAAGCTCCCTCTCTCAGTCTCCAGCAGCTCAGTACCACTGCTGTGACCTCATTTGTACTCCTTTTTGTAGTCTAATTCATCCAATTTATTATCCCACATGATTTTTCCTAAATCCAAATCATTAACCACATTTTTTGTATTGCTTAAAACCCATCATTGGTTTCCTGGTCCCTTTAGGATAAATTCCTAACTTCTTAGTAGCCTGTACCTCTGTCTCTTCCAAACACTTGTAATCTGTATGTGCTGTATGCCTTGTGGTTGTCCAAGTACCTCAACTTTCCCAAATTCCTATGCCTGGGAAAATCCAAGACTTTTTTAGTGTCAACATGATGCTCAAAGGAAGTATTCACTGGACCTTTCCAGATTTTGGATTTTGGGCTACTCAACCTGTATAACTTTTTAACTATTATCACTGGCCTCTGAGCTCCTATATGGAAGGCAAACTTTATGTGTACACACACACACACACACACACACACACACACACACTCTCTCTCTCTCTCTCTCTCTCTCTCTCTCTCTCTCTCTCTCTCTCTCTTTCTCACACATACATACATACCTACACACACATTCCTGTACATTGTATATTTATTTTTACCAGCGATTAAGGGCTATAGATTAGGAATTTAATGATTAAGGATCCTATATTTTACTTTTTCTCATTTATTTTGATGATTTGTTTGAGCCAAAACTATCTATCTTCATTATATTTATTTATCTTTGAAGTGACTATAATATACTTATATTTTTTTATTATAAGTGTTTGAAGCCTCAGCCATTACTTCCACACCAAAAACTCATAACTAAGACCTAGGATTTTACATCAAGTAACTGACGATTTAAACCCCATTGAACAGTTTCCCAACCATGGCACTGTCGACATTTTGAGCTAGAGAATTCTTTGTTATAGGGGCTGTTCTATGCTCCATAGGATGTTTATCAGCATCTTTGTCCTCCACCTACCAGATGCTAGTAACAAACTTGTACACCTATCCCCAACTGTGACAATAAAAAATGTCTCCGAACGATACCAAATGTTTCCTGGGGAGCAAAACTGCCCATGGTTGAGAATCACTGCTGTAGAACTCTCAACAGAAACCTAACTCTTAAAATGCCCAACTGTTGTGCCCTGTTAGAATCATTGTACTGGAGCCTACTTAAGGGTAGAAGGTGGGAGCAGGGGGAAGGAGCAGAAAAAATAACTATTGGGTACTAGGCTTAGTGCTTGGGTGATGAAATAATTTGTCCAACAAATCCCCACGACACAGCAAACCCCTATATAATAAACCTACACATGTATCCCTGAACCTAAAAGTTAGAGAGAATCAATATCTGTTTATTATATTCAATTTGGTTAAAAGCATAGGATGTTGTTCCAGTTCTTAAATAGTTACTTTTGGTCTTACCTAACTCTTCTGTGAAACTTAAATGTGTTTATTTGACCTTTACCTCATTAGTTGAACTACTGTCTTCTTCTGTATGCCTGCCTTTCTCCATGGACACATTTAACCACTGAACCTTTTGGGAAAAGTGACAAGAATGGGGATATTGAAATTGTTTAGTGCCGTCTTCCACGTATTTTAAGCTTTAAAAATCATTGCCAATAGTGGTTAGGGAGAGGAGCAGACTTCTGTTAACTTAGTCTGCATTTGATATAATATGAAAACTGTTAGTCACGGTGTTTCTCACATCTCAGATTTCTTTGTGTTGGTCTTCTTTAATTTTGCCCCTTACTCTTTTTCTCTTCTTTTCAGGCTATTCATGCTCTTATGGAAAATGCTGTGCAACCCTTACTCACTTCTGTGGGAGATGCTGTAGAGGCCATAATCATCACCATGCATCAAGAAGATTTTTCTGGGTAATGATTTCCAACCAAATTTTTACTAACTTTTACTGCCTTTGTTTTCTATTCCCACCCCTACCCTTACTCCCTAAGCTGCCCCCTGCCATCCAGCGCCTTGTTCCTTTTGTGATGGCATTAGCTTCCAGCCCTCTCCTTCATTGTGAGCGCCATTCACAGATTAAAATTTTTCAGTTCTCGTTTTCATCACTTCGTTCCTCTTTTTAAATTATTTTTTTCTTTATGAACAGTATCACATCACATGTATATAACATTTCTCTCTTACTGAAATATAAAATGAGTCTGTGGGACTCAGCCTGACACTTCAGGACTTTTGGTAATTTGTACCCTCTTCCCTTCCCAAGCTTGTCTTTTTCCTTATTTCTCACAAATATCCTCGAGTTCAGCCTCTTTGTTACCCCTTGGCAAAGGCATGGTGTTCCTTATATAAAATGCTCTCCCTCTGCCACTGTGCTAGTCCAAATCCTGCTTTGGCTCTGGGGTAAGCTCCAGCCCAACCTTTTCCAAGACTTATTTTTCTTCCTTGGCGGTTCTTTGGCAATCTAATCACATCACACCTAGCCACAAATGCTATGGTGTTATTCCAGACCTGTTTCATATGTGTCTTGCTCATCCATATCATAGGTATCCTGAGAATAATAATCATAGTTTCTAATCCGATGTTTACAGAAATCTTTTAAAATAGAGTAAAATGGTTTTGATTCAGTGTATTAGAAAAGTGTGGAGCATTTGGAATAGTTATTTGCAAATGCTTTTAAAAAACTTAACCACATTCTACAGCTAAACAGTCAAATATTAATATGTATTTTATATCCCTGAGTCCATAGTTAGTTACTGTTTTTGAACAGTTCTGTTTCTCTTTACGTTCTTGTTCTTTTAAAGAATATCTTTTTTATGAAATTTCCATCTACTAGTTTAGCTATTTGTAGAAAAATATTGATTATTTCACTGTCCTCTATTTTTTTTTCAAATTATTTCATTTACAAAGTTTCTTTTTTATTTTTTAAACTTTTATATTAGGTTTGGGGGCACATATGAAGGTTTGTTACACAGGTAAACACGTGTCATGGGGATTTGTTGTACATATTATTTAATCAGCTGGGTATTAATTAACCCCAGTACCCTGTAGTTATAATTTCTGCTCCTCTCCGTTTTCCCACCCTCTCCCATCAAGTAGACCCCAGTGATGGCTGTTTCCTTCTTTGTGTTCATAAGTTCTTATCATTTAGCTCCCACTTATGAGTGAGAACATGTGGTATTTGATTTTCTGTTTCTGCAATAAGTTGCTGAGGATAATAGCCTCCAGCTTCATCCATGTTCCCACCAAAGACATGATCTCATTATTTTTATGGCTGCATAGTATTCCATGGTATATATGTACCACATTTTCTTTATCAAGTATGTCATTGATGGGCATTTAGGTTGATTCCATGTCTTAGCTATTGTGAATAGTGCTGTGATGAACTTTCACATGCATATCTTTTTATGGTAGAATGATTTATATCCCTCTGGGTATATACCCAGTAAAGGGATTGCTTGGTCAAATGGTAGTTCTGCTTTTAGCTCTTTGAGGAATCACCATACTGCTTTCCACAATGGTTGAACTAATGTACACTCCTACCACCAGTGTTACAAGTGTTCCCTTTTCCCTGCAACCTCACCAGCATTTTATTCTTTTGCCCTTTTAATGATAGCCATTCTGACTGGTGTGAGATGGTATCTCATTGTGGTTTTGATTTGCATTTCTCTAGTGGTCGGTGGTGTTGAGCATTTTTTCATGTGATTGCTGGCCACATGTATGTCTTCTTTTGAGAAGTCTCTGCTCATGTGAGTTGCCCACTTTTTAATGGGATTGTTTTTCTCTTATAAATTTGTTTAAGTTCCTTATGGATTCTAGATCTTAGACCTTTGTCAGGTACATAGTTTGCAAACATTTTCTCCCATTCTGTAGGTTGTCTGTTTGTTGATAATTTCTTTTGCTCTGCAGAAGCTCTTAGATTTAATTAGATCCCACTTGTCAATTTTTTGTTTTATTGTGATTGCTTCTGATGTCTTTGTCATGAAATCTTTACCTATTCCTATGTCCAGGATAGTATTGCCTAAGTTGTCTTCCAGGGATTTTATAGTTTGGAGTTTTACATGTAAGTTTAAGCCATCTTGAGTTGATTGTTGTGTATGGTATAAGGAAGGGGTCCTGCTTCAGTCTTCTGTGTATGAGTAGCCAGTTAGCCTAGCACTATTTCTTGTATAGGGAATCTTTTCCCACTACTTGCTTTTGTCAGCTTTGTCAAAGATCAGATGGTCATAGATGTGCAATCAGATTTCTGGGCTCTCTATTCTGTTCCATTGGTCTGTGTGCCTGTTTTTGTACCAGTACCATGCTGTTTTGGTTACCGTAGCCTTGTAGTATAGTTTGAAGTCAGGTACCCGGGTGTCTCCAGCTTTTTGGTTTTTTTTGCATAGGATTGCCTTGGCTATGTAGGCTCTTTTTTGTTTTGTTCCCATATGAATTTTTAAATAGTTTTTTTTTTTTTTTAGTTCTGTGAAGAATGTCATTTATAGTTTTATAGGAATAGCATTAAACTGAAGATTGCTTTGGACAGTATAACCATTTTAATTATACTGATTCTTCCTATCCATGATCATGGAATGTCCTTCCATTTGTTTGTGTTTTCTCTTATTTCTTTGAGCAATGTTTTGTCATTCTCATTGTAGAGATCTTTTACCTCTCTGGTTGCTGGTATTCCTAGATGTTGTATTGTTTTGTGGCAATTATAAATGGGATTGCCTTTCTCATTTGGTTTTCAGTTTGGCTGTTGGTGATGTATAGGAATGCTATTGATTTTGTATTCCGTGACTTGGCTGAAGTTGTTTATCAGCTGGAGAAGCTTTTGGGCCAAGACTATGGGGTTTTCTAGATACAGAATCATATCCTCTGCAAACAGAGATAGTTTAACTTCTTCTGTTCCTATTTAGATGCTCTTTATTCCTTCCTCTTGCCTGGTTGCTCCAGCAAGGACTCCTAATACTGTGTTGAATAGAAGTGGTGAAAGAGGGCATCCTTGTCTTGTGCTGATTTTCAAGGGAAATGCTTCCAGCTTTGCCCCATTCAGTATGATGTTGGCTGTGGATTTGTCAGGGATGGCTCTTATTATTTTGAGGTATGTTCCTTCAATAACTAATTTATTGAGAATTTTTAACATGAGGGAATGCTGAATTTTATCAGAAGACTTTTCTGTGTTTGTTGAGATAATCATGTGATTTTTGTCTTTAATTCTGTTTATGTGATGAATCACATTTATTGATTTGCGTATATTGAACCAATTTTGCGTCCCGGGAATGAAGCCTACTTGATTGGCCTGAAGTTTTTTGTTGTTGTTTTGTCTCTGCCAACTTTTGGTATAAAGATGATGCTGGCCTCATAGAATGAGGGTTAGGGAAGGAGTCCCTCATCCTCAGTATTTTGGATTAGTTTCTGTAGGAATGGTACCAGCTCTTTTTTGTACATCTGGTAAACTTCAGCTGCGAATCCATCAGGCATCAAACTTTTTTTAGTTGGTAGGCTATTCATTACTGATTCAATTTTGGAACTCATAATTGGTCTGTTCAGGGAATCAGTTTCTTCCTGGCTCAGTCTTAGGAGGGGTGTATGTGTTGAGGAATGTATCCATCTCTTCTAGATTGTCTAGTTTTTGTGTGTAGAGGTGTTCATAGTAGTTTCTGATTTTTTTTTTCCTGTGGGGTCAGTAGTAACATTTTCTTCTCCATTTCTAATTGTGTTTATTTGGATCTTCTTTCTTTTCTTCTTCATTAGTCTAGTTAGTGGCCTGTTTTGTTAATTTTTTCAAAAACCAACTCCTGGATTCATTGATCTTCTGAATGGTTTTCATGTCTCAATTTTCTTCAGTTCAGCTCTGATTTCTGTTACATCTCATCTTCTGCTAACTTTTGGATTGATTTGTTCATGCTTTTCTAATTCTTTAAGTTGTAAAATTAGGTTGTTAATTTGAGATTTTTTTTGCTTTTTGATGTCAGCATTTGGTGCTGTGAATTTCCTTCTTAACACTGCCTTAGCAGAGATTCTGATATGTTGTATCATTGTTCTCATTATTTTCAAAGAACTTTTGTTTTTGTTTTTGTTTTTTGTTTGTTTGTTTATTTGTTTTTTGAGATGGAGTCATGCTGGAGTGCAGTGGTATGATCTTGGCTCACTGCAGCCTCCACCTCCTGGGTTCACGTGATTCTCCTGCCTCAGCCTCCTGAATAGCTGGGATTACAGGCCCGCACCACCCCCATGCCCAGCTAATCTTTGTATTTTTTTTTTTTTTTTTTAATTAGAGATGGGGCTTTGCCATGTTGGGCAGGCTGGTCTCCAACTTCTGACCTCAAGTGATATGCCTGCCTCAGCCTCCCAAAGTGCTGGGATTACAGCTGTGAGTCACCATGCCTAGCCCAAAGAACGTTTTGATTGCTGCCTTCATTTCATTATTTACCCAAAAGTCATTCAGGAGAAAGTTGTTTAATTTCCATGTAATTGCATGGTTTTAAGCAATTTTCATAGTCTTGACTTCTGTTTGTATTGTACTGTGGTCTGAGAGTGTGTTTGGTATGATCATGGTTCTTTTACATTTGTTAAGGATTGTTTTATGTCCAGTTATGAGGTAAATATTGGAGTATGTGCCATGTGGTGATGAGAAGAATGTATATTCTGTTGTTTTGGGATGGAGAGTTTTGTAAAGGTCTATCAGTTACATTTGGTCCAATGTTGAATTAAGGTGTTGAATATCTTTGTTAATTTTCTGCTTTGATGATCTCTCTAATACTGTCAGTGGAGTATTGAAGTCTCCCAACATTATTGTGTGGGAGTCTTTGAAGGTCTCTAAGAACTTGCTTTACCAATCTGTGTCCTCCTTTGTTGGGTGCATATATATTTAGGATAGTTAAATCTTCTTGTTGAATTGAACCCTTTCCATTATGTAATGCCCTTCTTTGTCTTT